CTATGGCCGGCGCTCGTTGGTTCTCCACGCTAGACTTAAAATCTGGCTACCACCAGGTGGAGATGGCAAGGGAGGATAAAGCTAAGACAGCCTTCTCTTTTGGCCAGGGGCTGTGGCAGTTCACTGTTATGCCCTTCGGCCTGTGCAACGCCCCTAGTTGCTTCGAACGGCTGATGGAAAGAGTCTTGGAGGGTCTGCAGTGGAGGACGGCCCTTGTCTACCTCGACGACATTATTGTCTTTGGAGGATCATTTGATGAGGAGCTAGAGCGACTGGAGGTGGTGCTTCGCCGGCTGAGGGCTGCCAACTTAAAGCTCAGTCCTAAAAAGTGCCTGTTCTTCCAGTCCGAGGTGCCATTCCTGGGGAACATCGTTGGTAGAGACGGGGTAAAGACCGACCCCCAGAAGGTAGCTGCAGTACAGGACTGGCCTGTCCCCACTTGTGTAGCTGACGTGAAGAGTTTCGTGGGCCTCTGTACCTATTATCGGCGTTTCGTCAAGCAGTTTGCACAAATTGCCTCCCCTCTCCATCAACTCACCAGAAAAGGGGCACGTTTTGAGTGGAGTGCAGCCTGTCAGGTGGCTTTTGATAGCCTGAAGCGAGCCTTAGTTGAGGCCCCTGTACTGCCTTACCCTGATCCAGCTAGTCCCTACCTGTTGGATACTGATACTAGTGCTGAAGGTCTGGGTGCTGTTTTGTCGCAGGTGAAGGATGGGAAAAATGTGTGGTGGCATATTACAGTGCCAAGTTCACAGATCCTGAGAAAAACTATTGTGTGACCCGAAAAGAACTGTTGGCAATAGTGAAAAGCACCGAGCATTTCCATCCTTACCTGTATGGTGCTAAATTCCTTATCCGCACGGACCATTCTGCCCTGCAATGGCTAAAGACTCTCAAGGCACCTGAAGGACAGCTGGCGCGGTGGTTGGGTCGCCTAGAGCAGTACCACTATGAGGTTCAGCATCGGCCCGGTCGCGTCCACAATAATGCTGACAGCCTGAGCCGCCGCCCTTGTGAACCAGAGTGTCAACACTGCTTGAGGAGGGAAGAGCGGGTCGCATGCCGGCAGCTCCAAGTCTGGGGAGACTCTGTAGACGCCGAAGAAAGATGGCGTCAGGTACAGAGGGAGGATGATGACCTAACTCCCCTGATCAAGTGGATGGAGGCATCCCCAGAGCGTCCCGGTTGGCCACAAGTAACAGCAGAGAGCCCTGTCACCAAGCACTTGTGGCAGCAGTGGGCCATGTTGCGACTGGAGAATGGAGTATTACAGCGGCGCTGGGATGATGCTCGTGGACGGCCAAGTTACTGGGTGGTGCTGGTGCCTCGTACCCTGAGGAGAGATCTGTTGCATGAGTTGCATGGTGGGATCACCAGCGGCCACCTGGGTGTGAAAAGAACTCTGACTAGATTAAGGCAACGCTTCTATTGGGTAGGAATGAGGCGAGACGTTCAGGAGTGGTGTCGCACCTGTGAAGTGTGTTGTGCCAGAAATGGGCCTGTGAAGAAGAACCGTGCACCCCTCCAGCTGTACCAGGTCGGCGCACCCCTGGAGAGGGTGGCTGTGGACATTGTCGGGCCGTTCCCTGTCACTACACAGGGAAACAGATTTATTTGTGTGGTAATGCACTACTTTACTAAGTGGCCTGAAGCATATGCACTCCCTGATCACGAGGCAGAGACAGTGGCAGAAGCTTTGGTGAATAACTTCATTACACGCTTCGGAGTGCCCTGCGAACTACACTCTGACCAGGGGCGGGAGTTTGAGTCCGTGGCATTCCAAGAGTGCTGTCGACTGCTGGGGATCAAGAAGACCCACCACCGCCTTGGCCTCAGTCTGACGGCTTGGGGATTCAACAGGACTTTGATCCATGAAGTGGCCAAGTACTGCAGCAGCGACCAGCGGGACTGGGACGTGAAGTTACCATCACTGTTGATGGCCTATCGCTCAGCCCAGCATGAGGCGACCATCCACACTCCCGCCAAGCTGATGTTCGGTAGGGAGCTGCGACTTCCTGTAGATCTAGCAACTGGACGCCCTCCCCAGGAAGTTACCGACCCAATATCCAATTATACCCAGATGTTGCAGGAAAGGCTGATCATTGCCCACAGATTAGCACGTAACAGCATGAGGACGGCTGGCAACAACATGAAGACACGCTACAACTGGCATTCAAGGGAAGTCAAGTATAATGTTGGTGACCACGTGTGGCTACACAACCCTCTTCGCAAGAGGGGACTTTCTCCTACCTAAACTCCAGAGTCCCTGGGAAGGGCCCTACGAGATACTGCAGGTCATGTCTAACGTGACCTACAAAATTCGTCGTGGGCCTCAGAAACGATCACGCGTGGTTCATGCAGACCGTCTATGGAGATACTATGGCCCAGGATTATTCTTGTGGGGAGGAAGAGAAAGCAAGGACCGAGAAGTGGAAGTGAACGAGGAAGAGTAGCAGTGGAACCAGTGGAACCTGTGGCTGTGTTGGAGTGGAAGAGACAGCTGGCGGGTCATTGGTGGATGTGGAGGACATTTCTATTAACGAGACAGAACTGCGTGCCCATTGTGGGGGGTGTGCGCTCAAAACACGGAGATGCCACCAGAGTGAGAATAGACTGTGTTTATTCCGCCTGAGTTAATTTGAGTGGACCTAGGAGAGTGCGCCTCCACGTGCACACACTCGGACTTTTAACGGCTGCTGAGGTTAGCGTGCTATCCTGTGGTCGTTTGAGCTTAACAATATATATCATACACACATATATGTACGTATATATTCTATATATAGTCTTTTAGACATCTGAAAAGAGAGATAGATTTCTAGTTTCATAATCCATAAAAGTATTTATCATATGGATAAAAAATCGTTTTCAATGAATGTGAAACCGTGTCTTGACCCTCCTTCCTTCCTTTTCCAATTTCCACAGCCAACATAGAGCCTTGCTCATGCTACACTAGCAGCATGTTGGGTCTAGTGCTCAATTGCTACGAAATCAACACAGAAGAGGAACTGAGGTCAATTCTCCATGACCCAAGCTTCCCAGTCACCAGTTTCGGCGAAATAAAGATCACAGTAAGAATGTTATAGGATCTTCATAAACAATGTTTTACCAAATGTCTATTCAGGGTATAGAGTAACGAACTATAATAGAGAACACCTGTCCTTGCACGATATGTATAGATTAACACAATGGACCCTTTTGTTGTCCGAAATATGAAATATTTGTATATAATAGTGACTCAATTTTGTTGTCAGCACTGCGGAATGGAGTCCCTAGGAGCCGATTTGTTTGGCCAGCTTAGTGCCGATCGAGTCTATCTGGAGAGCTTTCCTAACCTCAAGTGAGTTGCCTGTTTCCTGCCACCGCCTTCTCCCTGATGGAAATCCCTATGAACAACTGGCGAGAGACCTTCATTTAGTTATATTTTTTCTACAGATATCTTTATACAGTGGCAACAGCTCAGAATTGAATATTTTTTATACTTACAGGTCTCTAGACCCAGAGTTGTTGGCAGGCCCCATGAGCGACCATGTTCGAGTTATTCATATTTCGAAGAATCCGCTGCTGGAAGTGGCTGACCTTCGTCTGTTTGAGAACGTGAAGAGGACCGACCTCATGGTCACTATGATAGAGAATAATATCAAGACAGTCACTCCCCCTTCTAAGCCGAGTAACATCTACTCGCTTAACCTGGGGCGCAACGCCATTGCCAGTGTGACTGGGGACATGCTAAGGAATCTACTGGGAGTGAAGTACCTTTATTTCTATGAGGTAAGAATTTTTTTTTCGCATACTTTATTGTCATACGTCAGTCTGCATTATAGTACAATCTTGTCCAAAGACAAAAACACATACACAATATATAGTAATTTAACAGGAAAATCAACTGAAATTGCAACAAACAGCCCCACAAAAATCGGTGTTTGCATGTTTTAGAATGGTTTCCCTTTGATGTAAAACGCCATGTAGTTTTGTCCGAATAATGAAGTAACTTTTATCATTCCTACAATTTCGTCAATGCCAAATGATTCATGACACAATTTATAGGAGAAAATGGCCGTAAAGGGAAACATATGCTTAAAAAATATGCGCCAGATCATGGTTTCTGTCATGTAACTAAAAAAGGTACACACATACACAATGTATATATATAAATGTGTGGGTGTGTCGCTGTGTGAGTGTGTGTGTGTGTGTGTGTGTGTGTGTGTGTGTGTGTGTGTGTGTGTGTGTGTGTGTGTGTGTGTGTGTGTGTGCGCGCGCGCGCGCGCGGTGTGTGTGTGATGTGCACATATGTATGTGGCATCATAAAATGAAATCCTTCCCCGCCCCTAACAGAACGGTTTAACCAGTATTGAACACGGTGCCCTAACTGCCTTGGACTCCCTTGCGGATCTCCAACTCCACCAAAACGCTTTGGGCCCCGTTCTGCCTGCGGGCGCCGTCGCCGTGTCCGCTTCCCTCACTTCGATGACGCTGGACAACAACGGCATCTCGGAGATTATGCCCGAGGCGATCACAGGTACCTGGTGTTGTAGGTGATGGCGATAGTCAATAGGGCAATCATTTTGATGATGGTGACTGGAATGGTGTTGTCATCATTAACGTCACTGTTATTCTGATTAGGAGGTTTTAATTAATCCAATTTGCATTAGCGCCGTCAGCTTTTTTTGCAACTTTGACATACCATAGGCTGGGTAGTGTATACCAAGTAAAACTGACCCATCAGTTTATCTGAATTTCCCGTTATGAAATCTAAATCATGAAACATTACAGGCTTTTCTCCTAGCGCCTACCTCAGTCTCTGGTCGAATAACCTTAAGAGCTTCCCCGAGGAGACTTTTCGCCCTATGCTGGAGCGCCTGGCCGAAGGAGGGGGACGTCTGGATGTGTATGGTAAGATGTAGATGTTAGGAGTTTTATTTCAAATCAGATTTTCAAGTGGTCTACCTGTAAAATGTCCGGAAATGCGTGAACTTCCGACAAGAGCATCATGCCAATTCTCC